CGCTCACAGATGTTGCAGGAGCACAGAGCCCTGGACACGCTGAAGGGACCGATGTCCAGGCCTTCGGCTTCTCCACGGGTCTTTTCTAGAACCAACCTCCCAGGGAGCATGGCTGTGCGGGGCCACTGTCCTTCCCAGCTCCTTCCACAGTCACTCTCTTCTGCAGAAGGAGATGGGCCTCCAAGCCGTCTCTCCTCTCACCGCGGGGCCCGAGGTGGCACCTGAGGCCACTGGCTGCCGGAGCCGAGCCGAGCAGATGAACGGACAGATGAACAGATGTTGATAGAATCCCAGCTGCTCGCTGCCCCTCATGTCCACGTCATCCCAGCCACTGTGCGTCCCTCTCACAGAGACTTTGAATTTATAGGTGAGGGAGAGCGAGATGGGATTTATCGTGATGATTAAAGTGAACATGGAAGCCAGGCGTTTCCTGTTAGAAAGTAAGTCTGATTTGGTGGATTGGCTGGACAGTGAGGCCCAGCTTTGCCAATCAGTTCTATGCAGACACTTTCTATAAGTTCAATAAATTAAAACATCAGCTCCAAAGTTTTGACATATATATGTGTAAAGCCTGTATCAATATAAAATGTGTTGGTAAATGCATCCTCTTTAATAATTTAAATTTCCAGTAAAAGTGGTAGAAGTCAATTTAAAAATATAGGAGGGGTTACCTAGTCCCTCCAAAGCGTATGCATTTAAACTGTCAGCTGATGGGACTCAGAGGATGTGCGGCAGCCCAGGGGCTGGAAGCCAGGCCCAGACCTGTCACAGGAGGATGATCCCGTCCTAAGGAAAGAACTGGCGCATTAAGTAACAGGTTTCCCAGACAAGGATTGGTAGAACGTCTGCATGGGACTGACTGGCAGAGCTGGGCCTCCCTGTCCAGCCAACCCACCAAATCAGTCTTCCTTTCTAACAGGAAATCCTTGCTTCCATGTTCACTTTAATCATCACGATAAATCCCATCTCGCTCTCCCTCACCTATAAATTCAAAGTCTCTGTGAGATGGACGCAGACAGTGGCTGGGATGACGTGGACATGAAGGGCAGTGAGCAGCGGGGATTCTATCAACGTCCATCTGTCTGTCTGCTCTGCTCGGCTCTGGCCGGGCTGCCCCAGGAGCCAGTGGCCTCAGGTGCCACCTCGGGCCCCGCGGTGAGAGGAGAGACGGCTTGGAGGCCCATCTCCTTCTGCAGAAGAGAGTGACTGTGGGAGGAGCTGGGAAGGACAGTGGCCCCACACAGCCATGCTCCCTGGGAGGTTGGTTCTAGGAAAGACCCATGGAGAAGCCGAGGGCCTGGACATCGGTCCCTTCAGCATGTCCAGGGCTCTGTGCTCCTGCAGCGTCTGTGAGCGGCCAGGTCTGCCCGGGCCCCTGTTTCAGAACTGCTGTTTGAAACTCGAACAAGATAAGCAAACACGTTCTATCCGCCTCAAACGAGAAATGGGTTTATCAAGTCAGAATATTAGTCTTGATGCCAAGTTTATATACAAAATACTCATGAGAAAAGGTAGGATCTTGTCTTTCAATGACTGAAGGTTTTTCTCACCTAAGATGTACCTTTTTTTTTTTATATATTTTATTGATTTTTTACAGAGAGGAAGGGAGAGAGATAGAGAGTTAGAAACATCGATGAGAGAGAAACATGGATCAGCTGCCTCCTGCACACCTCCCACCGGGGATATGCCCGCAACCAAGGTACATGCCCCCGACCGGAATCGAACCTGGGACCCTTCAGTCCGCAGGCCGACGCTCTATCCACTGAGCCAAACCGGTTTCGGCAAGATGTACCTTTTGAGAATAGATCATGCAGACAAAATCCTCACAATTGTAAGGTCTCATGCTTTAATATCAGAAAATGTCTCTGAATTACCCCAAAATTTCAGTGATTAAACAAAAACCTGTCCTCCAGGACTTGGACATTCTAAAACATGGTCACTGGCCATTTGTACTGAAGGAAGTCATTCGAATGGAAATTTTGGTTGGGGATGCCTTGCTCCTGGGGACTGACTTTGCCAGGTAGGACTCTCCTGACCTGCGAGTGTGATCTTTCTGAAATGGCAGCACCGGGAGGAAAATGTAGGATGCCTTTAATGCAAGTCCGAGACTCGGACTGTTTGGGAGGGAGCTCACTGTCCGCACAGATGCGAGGCTGATGCTGGGCAGGAGGCAGTGCGCTCCGAGGCGGGTGCTGTGTGTGGGGTCCGCACCTCCCCGGGGAGCAGCCGGGGCACAGGCATGTGCGTCAGAGCAGGGTGCGCCCCTCGCTGCTCCGGGGCTGCGGCCTCCTGTCCCGGGAGGGCATCCGGGGCGCTTTGGCATCGGTGCTAAATGAGGACTAGATCTTCGGCCCGAGAGCAGTTCTCACCTCATCGCGACTGCAGAAATACAAGGGGCAGGACAACCTCCCAAAAGAGGGAAATGTGGAGGATGCTATCCATTGTTCTATCACATGCTCATTGACTAAAAGTTCAAGTTCAGGTGAGCAAAGAAAACAGCGTAAGTCATGGCGAGGCAGGAATGCTTCCTGTCACCTTGTTATCCTTGGGGTGGTAGGGAAGTTAGAGGCTGGGACGTTGGTAAGACTGCACAGGCCAGATAGGCGTTATAGGCGGCTCCATTTCATGTGCGTAGAAAGACTCTATTCTTTTTTTAAAATACATTTTTATTAACTTCAGGAAGGGAGAGGGAGAGAGAGATAGACACATCAATGATGGGAGAGAATCATGGACCAGCTGCCTCCTGCTTGTCCTGCACTGGGGATGGGGCCCACAACCCGGGCTTGTGCCCTGACCGGGAATCGAACCCTGACCTCCTGGTTCCTAGGTCACCGCTCAACCACTGAGCCACGCCGGCCGGATAAAGACTATCTTCCTCTCTCCAAAGATTGCCTAACTTGTGAGGAGACAACAGCTCCAGCTCAGGCATCTCCCCCTGCGGAGGCGATGGGAACACTGCTCTCAGGGCTTTGAGCACGATGCCAGCTTTCCTGCCCCGCTGCCTCTCACCGGGTGGCTCTTCTTGCAGGAGATGGTCCGTGGTTTCCCCTCCGGGAGCCCCGGGAGGAGGCTGTTTAGCCCAGGGCTGGGCTGTGTAGGACGCGGGCAGAGAGGCAGCTGGAGAGGAGGCAGGGGGAGGTGAATGCGGGAAGGAGACAGCTCTGGAATAGAGAGACTGTGCGTCTCCCTGACATCCCAGGCCTCTGGCTTCCCCAGCAAGGGCGGCTCCTGTAGGCCCTCAGACCAGGGCACCCTCTGCGCCACTCCGTGGGTTCGGAGTTCTGGGAGGTCTGATCGATCGGTACTATTCCAGTGATATCGGGAGGTTAACAATCTGTTTCCGGGCGTGGCAATTCACAACAGGCTGCAGCATGGAATATTCCAGGGCTTGGAGCATGCTGGGCCTTTTATGGGCTGCAGCCAGCAGGTGGTGATAGCGTACCATAAAAAAAGCAAGCAGACTGGCTGGGCGCGCTGGGCGGTGCAGTTTTGCTTTGCTTTGTTACTTCAGCCTGCCAGTGCCCAGCTATGTATTCCGTGGGTGCAGCGTGCTGGAGCCCAGGCTGATCTTAAACTTGGTTTATGATGATATCACTATTTTTTACTGCTACAAATTAGCTGTCGGTTTCAATCTAGCCCGTGTTTCAGCCGCCTTCCGGGATCATCTTGTCAGTTATGCAGCTTTCCAGTTTTATGGCTGAGATCAGGAGTGATGCCTTATAGGCACACGGGGAGCACAATCTGTCTTCAGCATGAAATGCGGGGACGTGGGTGCGCGCTTCGCTGCACGGCCAGCATTGCAGGTGTGCAGGACAAACAGACGAGGGCAGGCCCGGCGGCCCGCGCAGCTGGGAATGTGAATGTCTTGACATTTACTCAGGTGAAGTCACTCGTGGACGTGTCCATAGCGACGCGCTCTCCACGGTGCGAAGCGGGGTTACCTGAGCTCCAGTGGCATCTCACGGAGCTGTGTTCACCCATGTGAGGATGTGACGGGGCCCTTGTGGGCCCCAGTGATGCTCCATCCACCGGAAGTTCTTCCTCTAAGGCAGTGGTCGGCAAACTCATTAGTCAACAGAGCCAAATACCAACAGTACAACGACTGAAATTTCTTTTGAGAGCCAAATTTTTTAAACTTAAACTATATAGGTAGGTACATTGTTATTAACTTAATTAGGGTACTCCTAAGGGGCCAAAGAGCTGCATGTGGCTCGCGAGCCGCAGTTTGCCGACCACGGCTCTAAGACATAAAGTGTCTTGCAATGTCACTCATTTATTCTTCCTCAGTTGAATGTGAGGTGCCCACTCTTGTCCCAGGGGCTGGGAAGTCCTGGTGAACTTACTGGGCAGAAACTCGATTGCACCTCATCTCCTCATCTTTGTTTGCAGTGGAAGGGCAAAAAGAGATTCTCCTCTTTACAGAGCTGGCCGAGCACCGTTGATTGACGGCAAACCTGAAGGAGAAAGGGGTCAGATGCCCGCGTGCCCCCGTCAAAGACTCCCATCAGCAACACATCGTCGTAAATCCGTCACGGAACTCTGTTTCCAGCTCACACGCTCTCCAGGGAAGCACTGAGAGGTGGGGAGAATCCAAAGGCCAAGGTTACAGGCTGGCCTGGGTTTCAAGTGTTGAACAGAGAGCGTGAGCATGGGTTCCAGCTCCCTGCCAAACTATCTGGAGTCTATAGGACGCTTATTCCTCTGGCTTCCTAAGTGGTGTGATACCTGCTCTAGAATTTGCCAGTTTCTATCAGAATTAAATGACAGCCGTTAGCCTATAGCATGCTCGATATGGGCCAGGCCCCTTCCAGGTATTATTTCAATCCTTTTTAAAAAATATATATATTTTATTGATTTTTAGAGAGAGAGAGGAAGGGAGAGAATAGAGAGATAGAAGCATTGATAAGGTAGAAACATCAATGATGAGAGAGAAGTCATTGATCGGCTGCCTCCTGTGTGCCCCCTACTGGGGATCGAGCCCACAGCTTGGGCATGTGCCCTGAGTGGGAATCAAACCAGTGACCTCATGGTTCATGGGTTGATGCTCAACCTCTGAGCCACACTGGCCGGCCTTGTTTCCATCTTTATAACACTTATTCAAGCTAGGCACTAGTACACGCCTTTAACATGTAAATGTCACTCAAAGAGGCTGGTTCAGTCGCCTGGTTACTAGCCAGCCCTGGAATTTGAGGAAGGTCTGCCCATGCCCCCCCACTGTGTTACCCTCTTTTCTGAAGCGCTGCTTGCTCTGACGCTGCTGTTGGCTAGAACAGGTAGGAAAGCAAGACAAAGGCAGCGACCCCAAGATCTGCACCGGGAGCAGGACAGACGTCAAGGTGTGGGGTGCAGGGGTCATGCCCAGGGCCTCAGGGCCCCAGCGCTTGGGCTGCAGAGCCTTGCCACGCCGGGAACATCAGCAGACACGCTGCAGGTCCCGCCTGCAGACCTGGTGGCTTGTTCTGAGCGAAGGCTTCAGGCAGCTACAGATGGGGAGTCCCCGGTGGGGCAGCAGAGTCCTTGGAACTCGCAGAGCAGGAAACCCTTTGCTGACACAGGAACAGAGGACAGAGCACAGCGCCTCCAGCTCCAGCTCCAGCTCCAGCTCCAGCTCCAGCAGGAGAGCCACAGGGCCCAGGAGGTGCGCACCGCAGCCGGGCCTGGACTTTAGAGAGAAAGTGCGCGGTGGGTAAATGCACGGGACCCTGGAGCGCCCAGCGCGGTGCACACGGCCCGCTATTGGTTCCAGCGGGAAGCTACGCGCCTGCCTCCCGGGCAGATATGGCCCCTGAGACCGCCTGTAAGGAAGCAGCAAGTCTGATCGCTCCAGCGGCATTGACGGGCTCACTCCCCTCTCCATGTGGCCGGCGTTTGGCTGAGCTGGGAGCGGGCTGGGGCAGCAGCGCCAGGGCCTGCACCGGAGTTTCCGAGGACAGAGCAGCATCCTCAGTGACTGTGCGTGGGTCCCACCGATGTGTCCCAGCAGGAGAGGAAGGAGAATTATAGGCAAGGTGAAGGGACACAAAGGCACCTTAGGGCTTCCCATCAGCTGGTGTGGCGGCCTCGGATGCCAGGAAGCAACCTGGTCAGACGTTGCCCAACTCGACTCCCGTTCCACATGCACGTGACGGGACCTCCGTGACGGTGGACACAGCCCAGCGTGGAGAGACACTCAGGGCAGCCTACGAACCATTAGACTCATAGCTTTCCTCCGAGCTCGTCAGGACAAGCAGTTATGTCTAAGCGGGGACCAGATCAGCTGCCGATCTCGCTTACCTTTCACAAGAATTGAAAGAAAAACCGCATGTAAGGTCCGCGCGGGAAGGCCTTCCAACGGGTCTTTACAAACATTCTACTCGTCTCCCGTCAGAAATGGCTTCCTACTTATGCTTCTGAGGGCCGCTTTTCTAAATGTGCTGTGACTTCCTTAATGTCTGTGACCTCCTGTCGCCCATAGACTGGGTGGGAATGGAGTCATCTGTGGCCGTGACATCGTGATGTAACAATAAGAAGCAGCCAAGCCTCACATCTATTTGCTCCGAGCTCTCCGGGCATCGTCGGGATTGCCTGTCCACTGCTGTCTGGGCCCTGGCAGAGGGGTTCACGGCAAGTCCCTCCAGGCCAGGACTGATGTCCTCGCCCTCCCTGAGAGCCCGGGCTCCTCTCCCAGTGAGCATGTCTCAGGGCCCCTCACAGACCAGACTTCTCCACGGCCTCCTCCACCTGAGCCAGGGCCGCAGACATTTCCTGTCCCGCGTGAATAAATGTGTGCGGAGAGCCTAAGGGTCCCCCTCCATTTCCTCTCTGCAAGCTTGTCTTTCCGGCTCCCCACCCTGCAGGGGGAGGGAGAGGAGGAGCAGGCACGTTGCTTTCTGAGTCTTGCGTATTCAATTCGAAGCTAAGGCGATGGTGTTAGTACAGCTGGCTCAGGCCTAGGGGCTCCCATTGGCTGCTGAATGGCGGACATTTAGCTGTGTTTGATCTTTTTTCTTTTTCTTTTTAAAAAATTATTTTTTTGCTTTAATCTCCTCATTGTCAGGAAACAAACACAAAGCATTACAAGGAGGCTATTACTCTAGCTTTAGTGCTTTTGTCCACCTCGTTTGCATTTTGCTCAGATGAATTTGTGAAGAGGTAAAATTCTGTTCTGAAACTGAGCCCAGGCCCCATGAAGAGGGAAACGTGTATCAATGCTGACGTAGAAACCCAGCTGACCTTAGACTCCTGTAAACTCCGGAAAATCTAAGGAAGAACTTTTTACCCCTTTCCTCCTCCATCTCCACATTGCTCTCCTTCTCTCCTGTTTATGAAGACACTTTATAAATGCATTCGCCGATCCTCCCCAACTACATACAAGCATTACAAATAACGTCTTACTCTTTTGCACCAATAGTTAAACCCAAAGTTGCCATTTACTCCCACAAATCAGGATTCTAATCCAATGACGATCAATCAACTTGATCAGAGTAGGAGCAGCACTGACCGACCCCCACCCAGTGCTCCGCTCAGGTCACCGTGTGGCCACAGAATGGCCACTGAGCCCCAGATACACGGCAGTGAGTTGGCCCTCCTGGCTGACAGCTTCCATGGCCCCAGCTAAGGGATGTTTGGAGAAGGGTCAATGAAAACTCATCATAACTTCTTTGTTGGACTTGACCATAGGCCGGGTTAGAAGGCCTTGCAAGCTTTGCCTCACCGTTGGGAAACAGTTTCTTTGCGGGTGTGGATGGAGCGGGGGAGTAGCAAGGAAGATGCCAGAAGGAGCCGCATGATGGCTCACAGCTGAGCTTCCACCGGAAGTCCATCTGCCACTTTCCTCTCTGGCCCTTGGTTTGTGATTTTTTCTTTCTCCTGCAGCAAGTAGCCAGCCTCCTCCCTGTCACAAAAGCGGTGAGGTGTCTTAATCCAGAGGAAAACAGAACGGAGTCCACTGCCCACGCCCTGTTCCAGGAATGTTTTTCTCAAAATAGGAAATCTATACTCTGTGGGCTGGGCGACTAGAATTAGGCTGGATCCGTGTGACACGGAGGGATTGGTTTGCTTCAGAGAGAATCTCCCACGGCCTTGCCTGGCTGCCGGATCCAGGACGGTCTCTGGACACAGAGGTGTAGCAGCCCAAGCGCTCTGGCTGGATCAGGATAATGATGACCCTCCCACGGCTCCTACACGCCTGTAACAAAGCCTTTTGTGGCCAAAGTGGCGCTTCTAGTTAAGATTCTGAAACCATTATATTTCATGCCTCCTCTTCTTGATTAAGTCGAGAGAGAGAGAGAGAGAGAGAGCGAGCTTTCCTATGGAGATAGGCAAGTCTTTTCTTTCTGTTTTTATAATAAACTCTCATATAAAGTCTGTCTGTTCTCTCGACATCCACGTGAATTTAATCACCTCAAAATGGAGAGGAGGGAAGTCGGAAGTGCAAGATTACATGTCTGAGGCTTTTTTTGTGCCTTCAAACACCCCTGGGTGCAGGTGATACATGTACTATTCCCCAGCCTCGGGGTTTCTTTCCTATTCACCTGCTGGCGCAGAAGCTCAGCGCCATTCTGACGCCTCGGTTCACCGCAGAGCAGCCACGGAGATGCAGGTCGCTCCCTCTCCAGCCAGCACGAGGTCTGGGGGGAGCGCAGGAACATGGACTGCCCAGTGGCCCAGCTGAGAGACAGGGAGGGCCGCACCCCAGCAGAGTGTGCGTGTCTCCCTGGGTGAAGGGTTCCCACGTGACAGGACCCAGCAATGCCAATAAAACTCGGACCTCAGGGGGGAGCGTTCTCTCTACTTCCCCAAACCTCCCCATCGAAAACTCCCTCCTCCCATTAAAAGAGAATTGTGCTTTGTGATTGATAAAGTCTGTTTTTTTTTCATCAAGTTGAATGTGAAGGTTCTGCCTCGTGGCCTTCACTTAAATGGCTATTCTCAAAACTGGCAGCATTTCTCGCATGCGGGAAGAAGGAATAATTCTGAATTATGAGCACCAAAATAGGTTAAGGATACATTATGCCGGGGGCTGTAGTTTGTTACCAAGCAAAGGAAGCGCAAGTCATAGGGTGTAACGCAATTAAAGGCAACTGGGCGCGATTGCCAACCATTCCATCCCCTGACCTCCCTCTCGATGCCAGAGGTGACCCGTTCCCGTCTGCCTAGAAGCTGACGGAGTCCTGGGTGTGTTCCTAGTTTTGGAGTGAATCACAGTTAGTGAGTGTGGTGGATGCCCTATCCCTTCACCAGGCCTGGCGCCCTTCTCCAGCAGCGGTGAATGCTGGTTGCCAGTGGCCCAGAACTGGCCCTCCACGTCCTTCCAGAGACTTGCTGATGCCAACTGCAACCCCCTAGAGGTTATGCTCTTCCAACTAGGACCAGGCAATGCTGGATGGACATGGGGCTACGACGGCTGGCCAGCTCCCATCAAGGGAGACGGTCATAGTTAATGATGTGATGTGATCCCATGGAACGGATCGAGACCAGCCTGTATAGAGGACCACATCTTTGCTCAGGCCTTTCCTCTTCCCTTTCCTGCTTGTCATACGCCCTGAAGAGCTTGCCTCGAAAAGCACCCCTTCCATACACTTCCCACACCAGAATGACTGTCTTAGGCTTGGATTCTAGGGTGTTCAGATCTACGACAGTGAGTTTGCCCATGAATTGGAACCTATCCTGCCCTGATGAATTATACGATACAATGTCATTGCTGACCAGAATTCCACTGGAAAACAAGAAGCGATTCTCTCTGAATGGTTGACGTCTTCTTCTGACCCGTAATGAGCCTTTGTAACAGAAGAATGGTCCCTTCAGCTCCGAGTGTGCTCTGTGCGGCCTCTGTCCCTCGGCTCCTCAGGAGCAGGGCTGGCAAGGCTTCCCAGCCCCGAGAAGGTTGGAGACTTGAAGTCCATCACCGATTCCTACTCCCTTCCGATTTCAGGTTGTTCACCTTTATTAACTCTATTTATAGAACTCCTTCTAAGAGCTTGGCTTTTCATGTTAGGACAGGGTCCTGCCACAATAGGAGTGATCATGACGGCCTGAGTTTGTGGAAGTCAGCCGGGGGGGAGACACAGTGAAAGATCTTCACGTGGAATCAAACAGTCCAGCTCAGGCTGCAAGGGGATGTATTTTCAGGGTCCTCCGTAATTAGAAATGTGATTGTGTGAATGTCTGAAGATCTGCACGGGCTTTAAAGAAATTGGCCTAGAGCCCATTCCAATCCAGACAAAATATTGTGCAAGATGTGAAGGTCTCCTTGCGTGGCTACCAGGTCGTGGGGTGAAGGTGGGCTGACTCAGCAGTGGGGTGAATGGCGCTTCGAGCTGACAGGAGCGCTCCTGGAGGAAGTGCCAGGCCGACCCTGCGGCTCAGGAAAACAGCGCGGAGAGCGGTGATGGGAAAGGACACCGGGAACACAGCCTTTCGAGGCATTGTTTCTGTTGGGTGCGGAAACGTACATCATTCCACAGTGGAAGTGTGAACCCTTCAAAGACATCAAACCTGTGCTTTCAACCAAACGTGCTGATGGAGGCACCAAACGTGCTGATGGAGGCACCAAATTGGATACGACCGATTCTCAGTCTAATATTTTGGTCTAAAGAAATTAGCTCTTTGTTTTCACATGTTATTGCTTATTTGGAATCAGTATCTTTTAATTAAATCTGAAGCTGCTTTTCCAAAGCAAGCAGGTGCTTGCTATTCTCTATTCAGCCATCTGATGTTCCTTTTGTTTCCATTTCTTCATGTTCACAAGTGATTTTTGGCTGGATTTGGAGGACCTCAAGTTGTTAGCAGTTAACATTTGAATGAGATGCATCCACTTGGAGACCAGTACTAAAAAGTCAGGTTATTGCTTTTAATATTATAGAATTTATAGTTTATGTGTGAAAATCACAGAATTTTACATTCTATGACTTTCCCCCAGGATTCTGTTCCAAAAAGGTCACTGCTTTTTAAGGAAATAGAAACACATTTTCTTGTTGAATTTCCAAACACAAGAGCTTTGAACTTGTGGTTCATTACTAAGAAAGTAGAAATCTCCCAGCTGGTGTGGCTCAGTGCTTGAGGGTAAAACCATGAACCAGCAGGTCACGGTTCAATTCCCAGTCAGGACACATGCCAGGATTTCAGGCTCGATCCCCAGTAGGGGGCATGTAAGAGGCAGCCAATCAATGCTTCTCTCTCATCACTGAGGTTTTTTTCTCTCTCTCTCTCCTCCTCCTCCCTCCCTTCCTCCCTCCCTCCCCCTTTCTCTCTGAAATCAATAACAAATATTTTTTTAAAAAGCAGAAATAATTATAGCCGCTAGCGTTCTTATTCAAAATCCTTCCCCACTAGCCACATGGTCATCATGCCACTTGAAAGTGTTAGATAACATAATGGTAAGTCTTTGCAACACATAATGGTAATTATTTCATGGTGTGTATAAAATATTTGCTAAATTAAGTCATGTGCATTTCCAAGCCATGTAATGTGAAATCTGTGGCTCGACTGAGAAAGATGAAATTGTGTGTTAGCAAGTTACCCACTACCTTTCCTCAGGACCATCCCTAAGATGTACAGGGTTCCAGGCAAATATCTTCTGTAGGATCTCTGTCCAAACGAGAATATTGATTTAAAAAATTGTTATAAAATTCATGGGCCTACGTAAGATATGGTAATTTGCAATAAAGCTTCAGACTGTTGATAAAGTAGAGCTATTTACACATGTTTATTGTTCAATCATTGCATGTAAAGATTCTTTTTTGTAGCCAGGCATGGTATCTTCTTGTTCTTTATTGTCAAATGCATGGTTCCTGGCTAATTCCATATCTCTCACCATGTGAGAAAAAGGTAGCAATGCTGTTGTTATTCACAAGGCCATGGCTCTGTAGATCCTGTTTGAATGGAAACAATACAGATCTTCTAGCCTCTGTAGTTTCTAACGCCACTTATTTAGTGCCGGTTGCATCATTACTCATGAGTCTGTATCATCCATCACACCGCGAACACTGGTTTTCTATGTCTGTCTCAAAAGTTGTTATTGTGCTTTGTTGATGCTGATCCCAAATGCAAGTCTTATCCAGCACATGTAGGAAAATTCAGGTCATGTCGAATGTAGTGTTCAGAATTTTATAGCATCAACTTAGAATGATTTGTCTTCCTGTTATGGCTTCTCTTGAAGTCCTTGGGCAGTGATGATGGTGTCCCTAGGATACGGTCTGTTTCAATGTTGGCTTTACCTCTTTCCATACCACTTCCACCAGGAAGATGAGTGAGAACCGTGGGGAGCAAGAAGAGTGGTTCCATTTGTACTAGAATGTCCACCCCTTGTCCAGCATGGCTTAAGCCCAGCCTGGCCGAGAACAACAACACATGAAGTAAGGCAAGAGAGGACATAGATTGGAAGAATCACTGGACATAGGGGGAATAAAGGTCTCAAAAGCTCTTGGAGCTGGGTGAGGTGACCTCGGGAAAATAGCCTAACGCATGATGTAGACCCTGAGGGGGAAGTGGGGTGACAGCCCTGGATAAACCTGCATCCACCTTGCTTCCATGGTGCTAGTGACTGGAGGTGACACCTCTCCTACCAGCCCACACGCCTGGCTGAAGCCGGGGGTTGGCAGGACACCATTGGTATCCTAGAGCCCTAAACTTGTCCCTGTCCCTCAGAATCGCGAGTTTCCACAAATCAGCATGTCAGCACCATTCCTGAGGCCCAATCTGACCCAGACGCTCATGGCTTCCTAAAAGAAATACTCCGCTGGCTCACACAGAAGGCTCTTTGAGACATCTGGCATGGCCCTTGCATGGGCAGAGGCGTAGGCAGCGCTGCGAAAGGGAGTGAGCCCAGCATTCCTCCTCTTCCCTGCAGTGCGATGTCTTCATCACACATCTTGAAGCGTTGCCCACTGGGGCACTTCAGCAGGAACTTGGCAGCCAGTTTAGAACACACCCCAAACTTGGAGGCTGAGTTGATCTGAGTCTTCTTGTCCGATGACACTGTCAGCGCTGGCTGGTCCCAGGCACCAGAAGGAAACTTAGAAAAAAAGTTTGGAAGGTACATGAAAGCATGAGGCTCCCTGAGGAGCAGGCAAAGTCCAGGCTCCCTGCTTGTCTGGGTCTAAGGGCGAGATTTCCTCGTGACTTTCAGTAGCAATTGCCTCATACAAGTTCGGGGTGTGTTCTTAAATGGTTGCTAAGTGACTACCCCACTGCCCTCCTCCGTGCCCCAGGAGGCACCCCTTCGAGGTGTGTTCTTAAGATACCGCCCGGCTGCAGTGAAGATGAGGGATTCTAAGATTTTCAGAGCAAGCCACACAGGCTCCAGGTGTACATTCATAAATGATGTTTAATAGTTCATCTTCATTTCAGAAGAGTGGCCCAAGCTCCAAAGAGACACTTTCAGCTCATGGACTCCTCACACAAAGAAAATGCTCGTGGAAATGGGGGCCATTATTATTACTTTCTGGGTTTTCATTTAAATTGATGAAAGCGGACTAACTTGTCACTTCAGTAGGGAAAAAAATGAATCTATGAGTTTCGTGGGAGCTTCAGAAGTTGCGAGCTATGACTAGCAATGTAAATCTACTTTTTAATGTCTAGTCCCATTCAAAGAACAATGAAAGGCAAGGGAAGTCTTTGTCTTTTTTTGTACTTAGAAGAAACAGATAAGAAAAATTGGTATTCTAAAGCGATAGATCAAACAGGATAGTTTAAAAACTTTAAGATGACAATAATTAGAAAGAAATGCATCTTTTGTGGGGAAAAATGCATCTTTTGTGGAAAAAAGAAAGAAAATCCCTTATATTTCTTTGATGTTGCTATGGAGAAGAGATGTAACGGTCGGAGGTGAAGCTTTCTTCCTGTTCTGAAGCACAAATGAATTCTAGACTTCAGTTTCACTTTAATTGATTTATTCCTCCTTTCTATTTCCGTCCTCTTCTTCCTCCTCCTCTCTCCCCTCTTTTCCTTCTTATCTTCCTTCTTTGGCACCCTTCCTTCCCACAGGCTCCACACTGCCTTGTTAAGTAGAACACATGAACGCACTCACTGTCAATGTTGCATTTTAAAAACTATAGGTTTTTTCCACTCAGAATCTCCCTCCTGCCATTTTGTTTCGTATTCCAGAGCAGAGACATGTGTATGCCTGTGTGCTCTTTGTGTCCACACCTTCAGCCTCCACAGTTTAGTCTCCTTCCATCTCTAGCCTGGACACTTATGATGTCACACAGCCTGGCCACAGCACCTCCATTAACTATCTTGAGTGACTATTTCTCAAATAACAATTTTCTTAAGGCTGAAGACTTTCTTATTTTTATTTATTTATTTTTATTGCACATCACTCCTTTATTGGGGAGACTTTTCTTGCAGACAAAAACTGCCTGTGGCTATTGGATAGTTCACACCTACCTGCCTTTATTTATCTCTGAAATGTCTACTTACAAGGTAGATGGGAAAGATATTTTTGGTTTCTGACAATAAGAAGAGTAATGGTAGAAAGGGAGAAAACAAAAGATTATTATGAAATTATACCCAATGTGCATCAGTCTCCCTTTCTCTGGTTAATTTCAAGGGCAAGCTCATAAACTGAGGTATTGCTTTTCTCCATCCACCTGGGGGTGGGCTTCCTTTTATTATGTGGGGATTTAAAATTATTGATGGAAGATCCATAGGAAATTTGATTTTTCAAATAAGGTGCATTCACAGGTCTTTCCTGCGTGTCTGTGGGATTCTGGAGACAGTGAACAGTGCCCCTTGGAGAGCGCAGCTAATCCCTGTGCGGCTTTAGAGCTCCAGGTGGCGGCCGGTTCCTCCTTGACAAAGGGCCTCTTGCCCCTTGCACTACACCTGTGACAGTTTCCCCCTAAACGCTGAGCTCTGAAGGCTCAATTTAGCATCCAAAAAATTGAGCTGTGTTCTTTCCCTTTAGTACCTCATTACGAACAATAAAGAGTTGAAGAATGGAGTGTTGGCAAACAATTTTGCTATGATATATTGCAGAGCAGAATTCAGACTTGCTT